CCTATTTCTAGGGAACCCCCCACCCCGGGGAACCCCCACTCCTTGGCACCCACCATTCCCAGGGTGGGTCTTCCCGTTCCTGTCCCCCCCGGACGGGTCCTTCACCTCGGTCCCTGCCCAGCCTTCCTGGGATACAGCCCGGGGGCCACCACGGGAGGGGAGGGGGCTTTGGCAGGAGGTGATTTGGGGAGGGGGCTTTGGGGAGGGGGCTGTTTGCCCCAGGTGCCCCCCGAGAGCGGGGCAGCCCAGCAAGCGGTGGGGCCAGGCTCCTTCAGACACCCCACATGCAGAAAATGATCAATTCCCCCCCGATCTTTACACTGGCACTTCCTTTGGGGGGGAAAAAACCTCCCCCGCATCCAGAAGCAGGACGTGGTCACCCAGCACGGACCACCCTTCTTCTACGGCAAGTTCGAAACCTCCGAAAAAAACCCAAATTTTCCAACTGAAGCATCAGGAGACACTTAGCACCAGCAGCACCAAGGGCACGAGGATAATATATACATCGGAGGCAACGTGCATAGAATACTGTAATTACAGCCACGTCACTCCAAACATACTCATTCTGGCCAGGAATGATACATAACCTTCATAGAAAAAAAAGAACCAAAACGCCTATTTTTAAATCAGCAGAGTTCGGGGGGGGCAAACGTGCCCCATCCCTGATGGGGACAGGGCAGAAAGAGGGATTTTCCATCGGCAGCACCCCCTGCCCCTAGGGCTGGCAAACACCCACCCACCACCAGCTGCACCCCCTTCCCAGGGAATTCTGCTGTAGGATTATGAAATAGCCTATTTTTAAATCAGCAGAGTTCGGGGGGGGCAAACGTGCCCCATCCCTGATGGGGACAGGGCAGAAAGAGGGATTTTCCATCGGCAGCACCCCCTGCCCCTAGGGCTGGCAAACACCCACCCACCACCAGCTGCACCCCCTTCCCAGGGAATTCTGCTGTAGGATTATGAAATACAATTTCCCGTTTTACAAACGCGCCGCACAGGCCGGCTGGGTGTCACAGCCCACTCCAGATACACACATCATTTAAAGAAAATTACGCTTCCTGCCGCCGGCCCAACAAAAATATCCCTTCAGAGGCTGGTACCTGTCCTTATTTAGCACTGCTTTTCTCAGAACCTCACTTTTGGAGCTGCCCAACCTCATTCAACCATGTTTGAGAACATTTTTGCAGTGGATTCCTCCTCCTCCCCCCTCTCCCTGGCTGCCGTCAGGTGTCAGCTTCTGGCCCTCAATATTTGGGCTTCTCCTCACCTTGTTCCCTCCATCCAAGCATCTTCCAGGTGGTCTCCCACCACATCCCAGGAGGGTCAGGACACCTGCAGCATTGCATCCGTACCCAAAAAAGTCATCAGGTGCCCCCATCCGAGGCAGGGCTTTAGCCAACAGAGCTGCTGTGTCAGGGGGAAACCCCCCCAGAGCAACACGGGGCTCATGGCCACCTTCACCCTCCGTGTCCAAGCCCAAGATGCTGCTGTTTCCCCTGAGCCATCCCAATTTGTACCACGCTAAACAGGAGGGCAAGAGACTACCACAGGCTTCTGACAAACTCTTCAGATGTATTCACAAAGAAAACCGGCTCCGGTAATTAACTCCAGATCCTATTACCCTGGGAGCTACATAAATATAATAAAAGGTTTAATAAACCACCTCGACAGAAACACTCGGTGGTGGCTGTACACACCCAGCGACAGAGACTGTCCCTGCCCCATGGAGCTCAGAGCAGCCCCAGGCCGGCAGCACAGGGGGGCCCCCAGACCCCCCCAAAGGATGCTCAGCCCCGTGTGGGACCAGGGACCCCCCCGCGGCCCCGATCCCACAGAACCCCCTGGTGCAGGACCACCCCGGGCACGGGTCTGCAACTGGGGGGGTCCAGGGCAACCAGACATTTGTGGCTGAACCTTTCCTCGTGCTGTTGAATCCTGCTTTGGACTCAGTGATCTCTAGACGGTGCCTTCCAACCCCAAAAATCCCGTGATTCCATGAATGAGCCTGGAACTCACTTGCTGAAAAAATAAATACATTGGTGGAACGAAGGAGTTGGGGAAAA